AAGGAGGAGAGATTTGTTGGAAGAGTCCCTCTGATATCAGCTCTTAATAACTTCTGCCGCCGATCGACATTTGAGGACCTACCAGAAACCTCCCATAGGAGACCCACTGCCAGGCCAACATCATAACCATCCCCCCAACAGAGCTGGAGAGAGGCGAAGCACACACCCGTCCTTTCGGTAGGGATTTGCTTGGCGATTAGGGCAAAAGACATTTCCAGTCGCCATAAGCATAGGCATAAATCACTGCGGATTTCTCCGGTGAAACGGGCTGACCTTTCCTGATACACAGGGTCGCGCAAAAACTCCCGTTTTCTGCCTTCGCGTTCCGCAGTTTCGTGCGGCGTTCACGGCCCTTTCATCATTGCTTAATTCGCACAGCATCGGAACTCGTTAGACTAGCGGTAGGGGAGAGATAACGTCAATAGAAGCGAAAGCAGCGAGGTATGGACGGAGCATGACAAATTTTGTGGGAGGCCATTCAGTGGCAAAAACCCGAAAGACATAAACCACTGTCGAGCAGCCGGGGCCAACAACGGACTGTGTTGGCCCAATTCCCCTAGGTATGCCTTCAGTTGGCTGGAAAATTTTACTGATTGCTCCGCTTGAACAGTGAGGAGGGCATTATGTCAAAAATTATCCTCCTTAATCCATCACCCCCCTGATCAGTAAGCGACCATCTTCTCTGAATGCCCAGTCTCGACCAGTTTACCGTTAAGCGGGAAGCAAAACCCAGGTCATGCCGTTTGGATGAAATCGAATTCGCTTGCACTCCAAATGGGACGGAATAACCTGGTACCCATGCTCAAATATGAACGCCAACATATGCCTCCCAGGATTGCAGAAGTTTTCATTATTTATGCCCCTGAAGATGCTGAAAACCTGTACCAGTGAGGAATTCAGGAGCACATCGGGTTGGTTTGGACATTGTACTGTCATCGGTTCAAGGCAAATGAAAGAGAAGAGAGTTTGGTAAGTGAAGCGAAATCTGCTTCAATATGGAAGAGTTCACGGGCAGATCACCAGTACTACGCCTATTCTGTGGAACACGTGGCCGAAGTCGTAGCTTGCGACGGTCGAAATATCCAGTCAAGAACCACAAAAATTAGATATACAGGTAACGAAAATATGAAAAACTAACCAACTTGACGACTGAAGGCTACATTACGGGGAATTTCTACCAACAAAATGCAATGGAACGTGGAATACTAATTTTTATCCCATTTGTCGTCATAAGCAAACCATACTTCAACCCCAGTCTAGGCAGACCCGACGTTCGAACCCAGGACAAGCTGGTCTCGTTAAACGTTACATTCCATCGGTCGAGCCAGGAGCTTGCGCTACGTCGGTCAGTACCAAGGAGAAACGGTGTTCATTGACTTGGCCCGCGAACGTGGCCACCAAAAGATGGGCACTTAATAAATGGA